GCAATCTTAAATAGTTAATTTAAGATCCAACAATCGGGACAGTGGAAAAGCCCACCAGACCCCGAACAGTTGATCAATGATTACTTTAAAATTATTTATTTAACGTTAAGGGAGCAGGGACGGTACAGTCATGTAGCTCATTGCTAGTTGTAATCTTGAATGCCATCGCCTCGTATCGGTCCTCCGATGCTTAGTCGCCGCAAATTCACCACGCATGTGCATGGCGATATATTAATAACTATAAAGACTGTCGCAATCATTATACAGGATGTCACACCCCCACTTCAAAATTGAAAGTTTTCCTTACATGTTTATCAAGGACCAAATTGGTGTGTACCAATAAGTGGTAGGTATGATCTCCTGGATTCCTAAAGCTGATCACACTTTCCGTTATTAATAAACACTGGCAACAGTGCCCATGAGTCTCTTAGAAACAATTTACAAGTTATACAATCCACAAGAGTAATTAATGTAATTACGCAATAACTCGTACAACAATACAAACTATACAAAAATACGGCTCATATACAGGCTGCGCAATTGATGTAATTACGCAATAACTTATACCATAATACGACTGACTGAGTTTCCCAAATGCCGAGTCGAGACTTAGTTGAACACATTCTATGTGTCTTTGAAAGGTGGTACCGCCCCATTGAATTCTTCCTTCGTGTTGCGAGATCGTCGGGTTTTATCTAAACTACATTCACTTAAATTAGTAACAATAACATTTTTGAACTAGCCCAACGTTGAAGGCGATTTGGTGACCTTTGGGGTATTTCTTTGTTTTCACCAAAAAGAGCTACCAAGCATTTGCAATCAGTTCCTAAAATAAATTTAACACCGCACAAATATTGATATAAGCGTTTGACGGTATAATAAACTGCAAGTGCTTCTTTCTCTACTGTAGCCATGGTTCGTTTTTCACAATCAGACAGAGTTCTGGAAACGCAAGTCACGGTTTTTTCTTAACCGTCTTTGATCTGTGATAAAACCCCAGAAATACCCACATTTGAGGCATCACAAGTAACAATTATTGGCAAATCTGGGTCGAAACGCATTAATACGTTATCACATGATATAATCTGCTTCATTTCCCTAAAAGCTGTGTCACATTTAGTTGACCATTGAAATTTTGTATTATTTTTGAGGAGGTTGTCAATTGGATGTAACAAGGTGGATAAATTTGGTATAAATTTAGAATAATAATTGACCATTCCAGCAAACGATCTTACCTCGGACACATTCTTCGGTATTGGTGCTTCTTCAATTGCTTTAATTTTGTCGCTTGTTTTCTTAATGCCTTCTTTGCTAATTTAATGACCTAAATAATTTACTTCTCTCTGAAAGAAATAACATTTTTCTTTTCTCAATGTGAAACCTGCCTCTGTCAACCTTTTGAAGACCAACTCCAAGTTTTCAGGTGTTTCTCTGTGGTTTCTCCAGTGATGATTAGGTCGTCCAAAAATGAACATACTCCATCAATACCCTGTATGAGCTGGTCCATTATACGTTGAAAAATTGCTGTAGCCGTTTTAATTCCAAATGGTAATCTCTTGTGGCGAAAAAGCCCCAGTTGGGTATTCCAGGCTAAGATTCCTGAGGTTTCTTCGTCCACTTCTATCTGGTTGTATGCTGATCTGATTTTTGAAAAATACTCTCCTCCAATCAACTTGGCAAAAACTTCCACTATTCTCGGTAATGGATAGATGACCTCTTCTAAGAGTCTATTTAATGTTCTTTTATAGTCACCGCATAATCTAATACTTCCAAATTCTTTCAATACTGGAACTAACGGAGTCGCCCAGTTACTATTTTCCATTTTTTCCAGAATACCCTCTTTAACCATTTCAGGTGCCAAGGGAACAGGTCGGAATTTACAAAAAGTTGGTTTATAGTTTTCTTTCAATTCGACATTTGAAGTGGCTGCTGACTGGCCTATCTGTGTTGTTTAGTACTACCGGTTGATCTTCTGGAAGGATCTTATTTTCCTCCAACTTTTCACTATATTTATTGACGCCAACCAACTAGCAAAAATTGTTTCTCAATAGTTTAAATGCTATATAACTGGCGTATTAAGATCCTCCATACACAATTTTATCACATAGTGTCTGTAGTTGAAACAAAAGTATCTCGGAGACAAAAATGTGTATTAATTCTGTAATAAAGCTTTCTATAAGATTATTTAATAATCTTTTATAAAATTTATATTTTATAACATACTATAATGTTAATTTATAAGACCAATCATTCTAAAGTGTAATTTGTTTTATTGTTATCTAATGAGAGTTTTGAAAAGAACGTAAAAGATAGTTACAAAATATTTCCATTGAAGATTTATTATATTATCATATAGCTATTTTCAATAAAAACATTAAGTCGCAAACTCATTTAATTATAAATTGACTTGAGAGAACATCATATGAAAATGGTTTATAGAATAATTTATTTCGAAATTACTTACTTATATATTTTCCCTACAGATAAAACTGTAAAACGCCTAAACACATGCCTAAATGACTTATTCAATCACACGTTGTATTTATGTTTATAGTATGTTTCTGTGTATGGTGATTATGAAAGTTTCTATCTATCGTCATGTTTATACCTATACAGTGTATGGCAAAAAGATATCCATATAGCAATATTTTTATTATGATGTTTGAAATTATCCTAGTATTTGGGGTGCTTTAAAAGAAAAACTGTTTTTAACTATAACTACCTTTTTTTAATGCCCTTTTTAATAAACATATGTGACTATTGCGCCGATTGCGCGGTTTTGAATATGCATAAACGTTTAGTAACTGGGTAGTAATATGAGACATAGATCTGACAACCTTGTATTTTTAATAGTTTGAGAGGAACCAGGATTAAAGCAAATTCGTATTAAATTTGATTTATTCCTGACCAATTTCTTAGCTGGACATCCAGATGAACAACCTTTCTAAGCTTTTCCGTGGACCCCGAATGCCCGCTTGCAAAACTGCCTAAACTCATTTTAGTCATTTAACCTTAAATTGCGGATTCAGTTTCAGTTGACCAAAAACGTAAGGAAATTACAGATGACACAAAAGACTTTGGATTTACAAATGAATGCCGCCAACTTATGGCTTAGGAAGTATTGTAAAAGCAATTACAGAAAACTAGGCTTTACAGTCTAGAAAATATCGCACTCTCTAACCTTCCTCTTCTTAAGACACTATCTGGACATAATAGAAATAGAACCGGTTTAGTCACCTTCCGATAACTGTCAGGTAGTACATTCTGACTGATAAAAACGCAATATAAGATCCTATTGGTCGGGCGTATACTAGTTTGGTATATTTGTCTTCTAGACAGTTGCAGTTTATTTGAAGATGAATAAACCGGGCGTAGAAGCCTATTGATCTGAGGAACGCATGTCAAATCATTCTTAATCTTAGAATACCCCTAATCGAGCCTGAAGCATACACCCATATCTATCTCATCCTCATTTGGAAAAATCGAACAGGATTTCATCATATTTCTAGCAACAAAAAGTATATCATCAGAGATGATGATTTTTATTGTACATATTACCAAAATACCCGGATTCTCCTGGGCAGTCAACGTGTTAAGAGATTTATATTTGGGGAATAAAAATAATACGCGAAATGCTTATGCATAAAACTTTATTAAAAAGCCTTAAATATACATTTAAAATAAAACTAAACCTAAGAGAAAATTATTAAATAATTCTTACTGATGGCCAAAAAATCTACCAAAACTGTAGAAGGGGAAAAGCGAATTTAAATCCATCCTTTGACACTTGTATAAAACTTTAACGCAGTTTTGGCGACAAATTATTCACAAATCAGTTAAAAAAATAATAATAATAAAAATTAGAAACAAAGAAAGGAAAGATTTTCACGAAAAACAAAATCCCTAGTCTTAATAATTATTATTGTTGAGCAAAGAACTCTCGAATTATTTATTAATAAGTATTTCCAAAGAAATTGAAAACGAGAGGTTCGGTCAGCCCAAATGTTCAATCAAAAAAATAAAAATGAATTAGGTGTAGGTTTGGAACAAGGCGGCAAGCAAACGTCAACAAAAAAAAATTAATCAGGCAATAATTTTCTTCACACTAGATTCAGTTTGTTTTTCAATAATTCAGGAATTTGCTGCGCTCTCTGCTGGTTAGTCAGGTTGAGCTTCCAATTTCTGTTTTTGTTTTGTTCTTTTAGGGGTTAAGCTGCTTCAGGTACTGCAGCAGGTTGAGGCAGAGCTACTGGTTCAGCAGATATTCCTTCTGGTGCCTTTTCTACTGGTTTTTCTTCTTTTGCTGGCTCAGCGGCAGCACGGGGAGCTACAAAAGGCGCTCCAGATGAAGTTAATGGTTCTGAAGTAGGTAGCTGGTTCGGGTCCTTGAGCGGTTGCTAGTTTTGGTTCCTCTGAAGCAGGCAATGCTTGTTCTTGTGCTTTTCCATCGGATTTGGCTTTCTTTTTCGTATATTAGTTCAACGATGCTGTCTTTATTTTTTTCTGGGATGACTGTTTTGAGCTCAGGCAGTTTTTCTTCAACACTGGCTGGAAGCCCTACCTTTTGCTCGCTCGGTTTTGGCAATTATTTCGTCCTCGAGTTCTGAAGCTGCGGCAGATTTTTCTTCAATGTTTTCGGCTTGAGCCTTCAGGTGCCGAAGGAGCTTTTTCAGCAATTTTTTCTTCGATTTTGGCTGAGGTTTCCTCAGCACTCGGTTTCAACTTTTTTGAACGTAGGTAACGCCGCTTCAAGTGTCTTGTCTGCAACTGTGTATTTCGTTTCCTCACGTTTTCCTCCAGTTTTCAATTGGGGTTGAGGCTCTTCCGATTGGGATTTATCGATTTTCTTTTCTTCCTTTTGCGCTTCAGCTAGAGGAAGGTACAATTAAACAGGGACCAGAGACTCTTCTGAGCTGGAGCCTGAAATTTCAGCTGAATCTTGCTGAAGGGATTTAACGAGCTTCTTCGGACTCTCACACTGAGTCGTAGTCGGAAATTACCAGAGGCTCTTGAGGTTTCGGTACTTCACTGTCACCCAATGGAAAGACCAATGACGCGGTGGCAATTAGAAGAAGTCCAACTATAACTTTCATCTGCAACAATACAAAATAAATTAATAATAAAATATTAATAATGATAGTATTAGTAAACAATGGAAATCAGGTTGTAAATGCAATGATATGACGGTAAATTTTTATTTCAAGGTAACTTTGTGTTTTCTTTTTACACATTTAAAATGTTTATGTTCTCGAATATATGGGGATCAAATTGGAAATTTTCGTTCAAGGTCAAAAGACGGTGGTGTCGCCAGGGGCGTGCGGTGAAATTTGAAGTACAAGGCATAGCGTGTCGCAGTGATTATTCATTAAAAAAATCAGTTTGGTTTAGTTTTTAAGGCATCGACGAACAGTAAATTTGTATAAAATACAATGTGTAATCATACTGTTCGGTGGAACTCTGAGACTGACAAAAACTCTCTGTAAATACTATTTTCACTTTTTTGTACTTTGTACAGCTTTGTACTGCTTATTGATCCGCCGAACTGACTTATAACTGACTGCGTCTTTCCTGATCAATTCAAGCCTTTTTATATCCTATTTTCCTCTTTTGTCTTGGAGTCGAAAGGTATACCGCTCTTTCTTGAATACCTATTGCATCATTTGAGTAATGGGTCACAAGGTTTCATGAACCTTTGGTACACATCCGTATTCCATCTATACCATTTCCAGAATTATTTCACACTAGTGAAATTTGATTTCAAATTAATGAAAACTAAATTCACATCAGTGAAATCTAATTTCGCTCAAATGAAAATTAATTTCAAAGTAACGAAAACTAATTTCTCACAAACGAAATTTGATTTCACATTTGTGAAAATGAATTTCAAACTGACCCTAATTAATACTCATTTTTCAAACATTTATTATTTTAATTTGAAAAAAAACAACAAATGTTATTTATTTCACCGTAATGAAATAAACCCACTGAGGTCACATAACGTAAAATACAATGAAGGGGGTGATTCATCGGTTAGGACTGTGTTTGGGTTTACCATTTCGGTTGGAGGTTTTCTACAAGGTTGGCTCTCTTTAATTTGTGATAGAATTGTTCTGGGTTCTCTTCCATACATTAGAAGGAAGGGTGTTTTGCCAGTTGTTGAATGTGGAATTGTTCTGTATGTAAATAGGAATCTGGAAATCAAAGTTTGAATTGGAAAATTTGAGTTTCTTGGGTCATCAAGTAGTGCTACCTTAGTTTTTCCTTTGAAAGTTTTCACGGCATTTTCTTTCAATTCGACATTTGAAGTGGCTGCTGACTGGCCTATCTGTGTTGTTTAGTACTACCGGTTGATCTTCTGGAAGGATCTTATTTTCCTCCAACTTTCCACTATATTTATTGACGCCAACCAACTAGCAAAAATTGTTTCTCAATAGTTTAAATGCTATATAACTGGCGTATTAAGATCCTCCATACACAATTTTATCACATAGTGTCTGTAGTTGAAACAAAAGTATCTCGGAGACAAAAATGTGTATTAATTCTGTAATAAAGCTTTCTATAAGATTATTTAATAATCGTTTATAAAATTTATATTTTATAACATACTATAATGTCAATTTATAAGACCAATCATTCTAAAGTGTAATTTGTTATATTGTTATCTAATGAGAGATTTGAAAAGAACGTAAAAGATAGTTACAAAATATTTTCATTGAAGATTTATTATATTATCATATAGCTATTTTCAATAAAAACATTAAGTCGCAAACTCATTTAAGTCTAAATTGACTTGAGAGAACTTTATATGAAAATGGTTTATAGAATAATTTATTTCGAAATTACTTATATATTTTCCCTACAGAAAAAACTGTAAAACGCCTAAACACATGCTTAAATGACTTATTCAATCACACGTTGTATTCATTTTTATAGTATGTTTCTGTGTATGGTGATTATGAAAGTTTCTATCTATCGTCATGTTTATACCTATACAGTGTATGGCAAAAAGATATCCATATAGCAATATTTTTATTATGATATTTGAAATTATCCTAGTATTTCGGATGCTTTAACGGAAAAACTGAGTTAACTCAAATCACTACCTTTTCTTAATGCCCTTTTTAATAAACATATGTGACTATTGCGCCGATTGCGCGGTTTTGAATATGCATAAACGTTTAGTGACTGGGTAGTAATATGAGACATAGATCTGACAACCTTGTATTTTTAATTGTTTGAGAGGAACCAGGATTAAAGCAAATTCGTATTAAATTTGAATTATTCCTGACCAATTTCTTAGCTGGACATCCAGATGAACAACCTTTCAAAGCTTTTCCGTGGACCCCGAATGCCCGCTTGCAAAACTGCCTAAACTCATTTTAGTCATTTAACCTTAAATTGCGGATTCAGTTTCAGTTGACCAAAAACGTAAGGAAATTACAGATGACACAAAAGACTTTGGATTTACAAATGAATGCCGCCAACGCATGGCTCTGGAAGTATTGTAAAACCAATTACAGAAAACTAGGCTTTACAGTCTAGAAAATATCGCACTCTCTAACCTTCCTCTTCTTAACACACTATCTGGACATAATAGAAATAGAACCGGTTTAGTCACCTTCCGATAACTGTCAGGTAGTACATTCTGACTGATAAAAACGCAATATAAGATCCTATTCGTCGGGCGTATACTAGTTTGGTATATTTGTCTTCTAGGCAGTTGCAGTTTATTTGAAGATGAATAAACCGGACGTAGAAGCCTATTAATCTGAGGAACGTATGTCAAATCATTCTTATTCTTAGAATAACCCTAATCGAGCCTGAAGCATACACCCATATCTATCTCATCCTCATTTTGAAAAATCGAACAGGATTCCATCATATTTGTTGGGGATTGCGAGCAAAAAAACGTATTTTTTACAACTTGTCCAAACTCGTCGGATTTTGGGCGTTTGGAGCAGCTCCGAACAGAGGCCGCAAAAGTTTTCTGTCCCTGTCTGATACATGGTGTCAGGAGTAATATCGATTCGGGGATGCAACAGGCGGTAGTGTCGAACGCACCACCTGGGAGATGTCAATGCGACAAGTCGAACGACAAGTGAAAAACGGCGGAAATGTAGAATTTTCGGGAAATCGCGGTTTTTTGGTGCAAGGGTGAAGATTTCCGGTTTCCATCTTGCATTGTTTTCCGAAACGTCCAATGAGTTAGACAGGAAGATTTGGTGACTGGACTTGTGCCCTTTAGAAAAGTTTACCTAAGAGATAATATTTCTTTTGGCTACTGAAAAGTGTACTGCGTTGCACTAGTTAGTGGAATTTAGTGTTGTGGAGCCAATTTTACATTAAGGGTGACAAATAAAGTGTTATTCAGTCCAGCACTCAGTATACGTTCGTTTCCTTTGCTAAGCCCTCTATCCAAACCAGTAAAATAATACAGTCCATTATAGAAGGAATGCCAGATTAGGCACATTCAATTGAACAATATTTCTAACAACAAAAAGTATATCATCAGAGATGATGATTTTTAGTGTACATATTAACAAAATATCCGGATTCTCCTGGGCAGTCAACGTGTTAAGAGATTAATATTTGGGGAATGAAAATAATACGCGAAATGCTTATGCATAAAACTTTATTAAAAAGCTTTAAATATACATTTAAAATAAAACTAAACCTAAGAAAAAATTATTAAATAATTCTTATTGATGGCAAAAAAATCCACCAAAACTGTAGAAGGGGAAAAGCGAATTTAAATCCATCCTTTGACACTTGTATGAAACTTTACCGCAGTTTTGGCGACAAATTATTCACAAATCAGTTAAAAAAATAATTATAATAAAAATTAGAAACAAAGAAAGGAAAGATTTTCACAAAAAACAAAATCCCTAGTCTTAATAATTATTATTGTTGAGCAAAGAACTCTCGAATTATTTATTAATAAGTGTTTCCAAAGAAATTGAAAACGAGAGGTTCGGTCAGCCCAAATGTTCAATCAAAAAAATAAAAATGAATTAGGTGTAGGTTTGGAACAAGGCGGCAAGCAAACGTCAACAAAAAAAAATTAATCAGGCAATAATTTTCTTCACACTAGATTCAGTTTGTTTTTCAATAATTCAGGAATTTGCTGCGCTCTCTGCTGGTTTGTCAGGTTGAGCTTCCAATTTCTGTTCTTGTTTTATTCTTTGAGGGGTTAAGCTGCTTCAGGTACTGCAGCAGGTTGAGGCAGAGCTACTGGTTCAGCAGATATTCCTTCTGGTGATTTTTCTACTGGTTTTTCTTCTTTTGCTGGCTCAGCGGCAGCACGGGGAGCTACAAAAGGCGCTCCAGATGAAGTTAATGGTTCTGAAGTAGCTGGTTCGGGTCCTTGAGCGGTTGCTAGTTTTGGTTCCTCTGAAGCAGGCAATGCTTGTTCTTGTGCTTTTCCATCGGATTTGGCTTTCTTTTTCGTATATTAGTTCAACGATGCTGTCTTTATTTTTTTCTGGGATGACTGTTTTGAGCTCAGGCAGTTTTCCTTCAACACTGGCTGGAAGCCCTACCTTTTGCTCGCTCGGTTTTGGCAATTATTTCGTCCTCAAGTTCTGAAGCTGCGGCAGATTATTCTTCAATTTTTTCGGCTTGAGCTCGCAAGGCCAAGGTTTTCTCTTCAGGTCCCGAAGGAGCTTTTTCAGCAATTTTTTCTTCGATTTTGGCTGAGGTTTCCTCAGAAATCGGTTTCAACTTTTTTGAGCGTACGTAACGCCGCACATAGCGGTATTTAATCGATCTAGAAGGCCAAAATTATATCTCTGGTTCAGTTAATCCAAAATGTGTTTTATTACTGATTTATTATGTTTTTAGGAGACAGAATGTATTAATCATAGGAAAATTAGTATATTTTCGTTTAACGGCAAAATAATAATATATTTTTCAATAAAGCAATAATTCCTCAAATAGCTAATTTTCACTAGGCTAAAAACGAATATTTCAAAAATCAGGAAAGCCATAATTCTTCGTCAGAAATGTCGTCGCTATCATAAAAAGTCTCAGATTCAATTGTAGTCTGATTTGGATTCTGGAAAGTAGGCTCAGCTGGCAGTAACATTTGTAGCGTCTCATTTAAATATGGTTTTGTTTTCTTCCTTGGAATTCCCCTCATACTTGATAGAAGTGGATCGGAACTCAATAAGAGCCTATTAATAACATCTAAATTACATGATACTCTGGAAAACTTTCTTGCAAAATTCTGGCGGTATTGCCGAAAATGTTTATTCCTAGCTTCTGCTGCTTCTTCGGAAAGCTGTCCTATTGGAAGCAAGGCATTTTTGATCACAGTGGCACTATGCATTAATATTTTATGCATAGTGGGTGTCATTGGATGCCAGGGGTATAAATCAACATATATCTTGGCAGTATCCATACAATACTCATGAAATTTTTCTTCATTAATTCTATGACCACTAGAAATTGTTTCTAGTATCACCTTAAAACGATATATTAGATTAAAATCAATTCCCGTTATTTCAGCTGCTGCCTCTGGATCTGCAAAGAAACGACGACTGGTGTTTCCGTCATTTGTAGAACCAAATCCAGGCTTAGGAATATCTACAATCAAGCCCATTTGATTTCTAAAGTTATGCTGAATCTGGATCTTTCTTTGTTTTATAGTTTCTTTTTCAGCCTCTGATTGCAAGCGCCATTTTTTAATGGTTAATTTGTATGAGACATGCAGCAAGCTTTCAAAAATGCGGATTCTGGCATGCAAAATTGATAATCCAAACTTTAGAACCTCTGTATTGACTTCTCGATTTATTTGCAGGTTGTTAAAGTCTTTAGATGTTAAACCGCATATGTAACACTTCATTGTAGATGTGGTATCAGTAGCAGCGTTGCAGATTTTTCCATCGATCATGGTCAGCATCATTTTATGCCTAACAGAAAAATCAGCGTGAAAAAGTGTCACTCTTGTAGGCTCCAGTAAATTTGTTGCCTCTTCTACATACGAGATCTCTTCCTTTGTAGTATTGACAGATTCTTTAACAAATCTAATCCTTATAGGTCGGCAGTAGCGTGGCGAAGATGGGGTTGGATTTTGCCAGATTATTTTTTTATTAACTTCACAAATTAACTGTAATGGTACAAAAGAACTTTGAAAAATATTTGTGTCGGAACCAGTTTCGCTCTCAAACTTTTGCTTGAATTGTGCTTGTTGTGATCCATCACACCCCCATTTGCAAATCAACAGTAAAGATTTACGTTCCTCTTGACCTAAACTTTGGAGAACCTCTTCTAAATAAATCAATAGCCTTTCAACGGTATGGTTAAGAAGGCTTTGTAAGTTAGTTTCCGCAAGGGTTTCAGTTACAATAAAGGACTCTTTGGCAGGATAGCAGTCTTTTTTTGCTTTTTGTAACAAGCTGTAGCAAGGAAAGACACCTTTAGCAGTGCTTCTAATTATTTCGTACTGTTTTTGGGATAAATTTGCTTCCACAAACATTGAGAGCGCTTGTAGAACTGTTATCCGTGACTTCTCCTTTTCATAACAAGAGTATGCTTTCTTATATTTTTCAGCTTCCGTTTGGGAGCCAGTTACTTCTTTCACAATTTTTGAAACGTCTCGTTTTCCTTCACATCGCAATTTTACCTGTGTCGCGAACGTCAACATTTGGGAATCAACACTAGCACGCATTTCTTCTGTTTTTCTTCTTTTACTTCTTTCACTTAGTCCATCAAAAGTTTTGTGCGGTCTTCCGGTTTTATGTATTGCTCTTGGTATTTCAAAATTTTCCTGCAGCCATTCAGAATTTTTTTCCAAGAAAACATGTTCCTTTTTGCTTGCAATTCCTCATCTTCGTTTAAATTCGGACTTAATATAAGAAAATTTGTGCTTTACTTCTTTTATTTGGTCATCTGAATAGTTATCGTACCCTATAAGATAATTCTCCAAAAACTCCAAACCTTTGGTAATGCTGGGCAAATTTTGTTGTCTCATAAGGTCAAATAACTGCCTGCGAGAAAACATTTTCATTCCAGATGGTCCTAGAAGAAAATGGATTCTATTAGGACCAAGTAAAAAATATTTATAAAAATTCGTTCATTCATTTTAGCATTCAAGTGAAATGCAAAAAAAAGATTATCAAAAGATCGCGCGAATCCGCGGTTACTTCTTACGTAGCTAACTAGTAAAAACTATAAAATACGTTAACAAATACAAATGAATACCGGGACGAACCCTGAAGGACAACAAAAACCTTTAAATTTGGCAAAATTATCTTTAAAAACGATTCAAAAATAATATTATTTACCATATTTATTTAACGGTAAAAAAAAATTAAAATATTTCTTTACCATACATTTTTACAAACATACCTACCTGGTTCTTGAAAATCCATTTTGGTATTCGGGAAACACAAAGTTTAAATCTAAAAATGTAAAGTTTTTCACACGTTCAATAAAATTGCTGATAAGGAAATAAGCACTCCAACCAGAACAACGAGATTAGAACTGATACTGTGCGATTGAAACTTGACCAAATATAAAAAATTGAGTTGGTGCGAGTTTTTTGGAGATTAAATAGTAATAAATACCAATTTTATTCTACCTGCTTTGAAATTTGGAAAATTGACTTTTGGCCGGCTAGATCAATTAAATACCTTTATGTGCGCCGCTTCAAGTCTCTTGTCTGCAACTGTGTATGTCGTTTCCTGACGTTTTCCTCCAGTTTTCAATTGGGGTTGAGGCTCTTCTGATTGGGATCTATCGATTTTCTTTTCTTCCTTTTGCGCTTCAGCTTGAGGAAGGTTCAATTAAACAGGGACCAGAGACTCTTCTGAGCTGGAGCCTGAAATTTCAGCTGAATCTTGCTGAAGGGATTTAACGAGCTTCTTCGGACTCTCACACTGAGTCGTAGTCGGAAATTACCAGAGGCTCTTGAGGTTTCGGTACTTCACTGTCACCCAATGGAAAGACCAATGACGCGGTGGCAATTAGAAGAAGTCCAACTATAACTTTCATCTGCAACAATACAAAATAAATTAATAATAAAATATTAATAATGATAGTATTAGTAAACAATGGAAATCAGGTTGTAAATGCAATGATATGACGGTAAATTTTTATTTCAAGGTAACTTTGTGTTTTCTTTTTACACATTTGAAATGTTTATGTTCTCGAATATATGGGATCAAATTCGAAATTTTCGTTCAAGGTCAAAAGACCGTGGTGTCGCCAGGGGTGTGCGGTGAAATTTGAAGTACAAGGCGAAGCGTGTCGCAGTGATTATTCATTAAAAAAATCAGTTTGGTTTAGTTTTTAAGGCATCGACGAACAGTAAATTTGTATAAAATACAATGTGTAATCATACTGTTTGGTGGAACTCTGAGACTGACAAAAACTCTCTGTAAATACTATTTTCACTTTTTTGTACTTTGTACAGCTTGCTACTGCTTATTGATTCGCCGAACTGACTTACAACTGCGTCTTTCCTAATCAATTTAAGCCTTTCTATATCCTATTTTCCTCTTTTGTCTTGGAGTCGAAGGGTATACCGCTCTTTCTTGAATACCTATTCCATCTAGAAATAGGCAACTTTGGTTTTTCATCTAGGCTAGGTACCTATTTGCTCGTCTTAGAGGAAGAGTAGGTATTTGCTCTCGATGTTTTCTGGCTTTTTGAGGATTTCATTAGCATTCGGTAATTTTCTGGGTAATTTAGTTATTTGTTATTTCGTTTGACAAACAGGAAATGAACTTCAAATTGTTGGTAAAGAAAAATGTGAAAATTCTTATGTTGTGGGCCAAATATGGTCTCCTTCGGATTCAGTGAATTGCCAACATCATATTTTTAATATTCCAGTGATAATTGTAGCAAGGCTGTTTTATTTTGACTGCTCCCTATACAAAACCTGAGTACGCTTCCTTAAAGGTTGTGGCAAAATTACTTTCCGCTAAGTATTGGCCTCCGGAACTGAGAGAAATACATGGAGCCTATGGAGCTGGAGCGAGATTAGCAGCTGACGGAGTATTCTCATTTTACAGCTACAGAGATCCATGTTTTTCTCTCAGGAAGTATTTATACTACAAATATACACAACAAAAAAAGTTTTGCACCGTCTCATTTCATAAATTCAGCGATATCTAAATTAAAATATTATCAATAAAAAAATGGTGTTCAATTTCAGATTCCTAAACTTTTTCTAGTAAATGTACTGGACACATTCCATAGTTGAAGATAATATTTTTATTTATCGATGACTATTCTGTAGTTACATTAGATACAGGGCGGTGCAAAACTCTTTTTGTTGTGTGTATATAAAGGTTAAGGTACACATTACACATAACACATATTAAAAATATTTCAAATGAAACTAACTTTTTTTTTGGAGATAAAGAAATGGTGCGATACAAATAAACTTTGCTTCAATGTACAAAAAACGAACATCCTAACATTTGAGTGCAATATAACAAATGTTAAGTTGCAGGACGAAACTCTCGAAAGTAAACCATCCGTGAGATATTCGGGACTACATATTAATGCACTTCTTAAGTTTGAGGGCTATATTGCAATTTTAAAAAGAAGACTGGCAAGTGCATGCTATATGATTAGGAGCATTGCGCACGAGCTTGGCAAAACTACTGAAAAAATGCATATTTTTCTATAATGGAGTCACATATCAGATTTGGTATAGCTTTCTGGGGCTATTCCACTAAAAAATCACTCGAGGCAGAAGAGGTCTGTGCGTTACTTGTGCGAGAAAAAATGCACAGAATCATGTGGACCGTTGTTTATACAGGAAGAAATAATGACTGTGCCATCTTTTTTTATTTTGGAATCGGTGAGCCTTGTCTATTGAAAGAATACCGGTTCTGTTCAGGCGAGTAACTATAACCTCCGACAAAATAATGCACCCTTACCAATCCCTAAATTTACACTTACGAAAAATTCAGTCATTTATGAAAGTATTAAAATGTACAATCATTTACCGCAACAAATTGAAGAATGTTCTAATTATAGAGCATTTCATTTGGGTGTCAAACAGCATTTAACTACCAAAGCCTTGTATAGTGTAAGTGAATTTTATGAGGAAAATGCATTATGCAATACTTGAATGGAATTTGGGTTTTTTTAGGTAGGTATAAATGTACTTCTAAAAACTTCGAAATTTTACTGATTTTGGACCGAATATGTGTATTTGTTTGTTTAATAAGGTTCAATTTTTTTTTATTTAAGAGAAAACTCTGGACAATTTTAGCTTGTGTACTGTAGTTTTATGTTTTAGGAGGTTAGGTTAGGTTAAGTATTTGCTTTGTCAGTAAAAATTTATCTTTTTTTTGGACAATACCTATAGCTTATTTGATTTGATTTGAACTCGTGACCCAATCTTAACTAACAATTTTAAGCAGGTATACTTATTTCAAATTGTGTCTGCGACGCGGAGAGCATTTCGCACGCGCGCACGACTTTAATGCAAATGTTCCTGTTCGGAACATGATTTTGAAATAGATCGAAAATTTAGGAGAACGGGATCTGCAAATCCTATAAAACTAGCTAGATTGAATGTATGTGTGAAACGCTTCCACGACCGCCCAACCACGGCATGTTGACTACTGAAAAGTAAAAACTTCATTCCCTCCCGAGCAAATGGGACCTTCCCCACCCCTCTTCTATTGCGGCACGTCAGTGTCAGTGACTTTGTGGCAGTCCATTGTGCCACACCCTGTATAAGTACTTATAGCTATGTATATTTACAGAAAAATAATTTTATATGTTGTAACTGTAAAAGTTGTGTAGTTTTTCTGTTATTTTTTGCCCAAATATTTATTTGAGTGGGTAGAAAATACCTAACTGTTACTGGTTTGTATTGTATTTTATTCTATTTACTGGTGGCTAAGGAACTTTCTCAATACAGTCATGTGGTAACTCAGGAAGGTCCTTGAAGAGAAAATTGAAAATTTTATTGCCTTGTTTTAGTAACTCATTTCTTGCCATCCCTTTCCTAAACTGACTTTTTATCATGCTAGCGTATATTGGAAATTTCGATTTGTAGTCCTCTGATTCTAAAACCTGCACTATATTTTCATTTCTCATCTATATTGCTAATGAGCTTGTACTTTTTGCCAAGATATCATAAAATAAAATGTTGGCATTATCCATGTAATATATTGAGGTGCAATTAAACGGTTGATCAATGATTACTTTAAAATTATTTATTTAACGTTAAGGGAGCAGGGACGGTACAGTCATGTAGCTCATTGCTAGTTGTAATCTTGAATGCCATCGCCTCGTATCGGTCCTCCGATGCTTAGTCGCCGCAAATTCACCACGCATGTGCATGGCGATATATTAATAACTATAAAGACTGTCGCAATCATTATACAGGATGTCACACCCCCACTTCAAAATGGAAAGTTTTCCTTACATGTTTATCAAGGACCAAATTGGTGTGTACCAATAAGTGGTAGGTATGATCTCCTGGATTCCTAAAGCTGATCACACTTTCCGTTATTAATAAACACTGGCAACAGTGCCCATGAGTCTCTTAGAAACAATTTACAAGTTATACAATCCACAAGAGTAATTAATGTAATTACGCAATAACTCGTACAACAATACAAACTATACAAAAATACGGCTCATATACAGGCTGCGCAATTGATGTAATTACGCAATAACTTATACCATAATACGACTGACTGAGTTTCCCAAATGCTGAGTCGAGACTTAGTTGAACACATTCTATGTGTCTTTGAAAGGTGGTACCGCCCCATTGAATTCTTCCTTCGTGTTGCGAGATCGTCGGGTTTTATCTAAACTACATTCACTTAAATTAGTAACAATAACATTTTTGAACTAGCCCAACGTTGAAGGCGATTTGGTGACATTTGGGGTATTTCTTTGTTTTCACTAAAAAGAGCTACCAAGCATTTGCAATCAGTTCCTAAAATAAATTTAACACCGCACAAATATTGATATAAGCGTTTGACGGTATACTAAACTGCAAGTGCTTCTTTCTCTACTGTAGCCATGGTTCGTTTTTCACAATCAGACAGAGTTCTGGAAACGCAAGTCACGGTTTTTTCTTGACCGTCTTTGATCTGTGATAAAACCCCAGAAATACCCACATTTGAGGCATCACAAGTAACAATTATTGGCAAATCTGGGTCGAAACGCATTAATACGTTATCACATGATATAATCTTCTTCATTTCCCTAAAAGCTGTGTCACATTTAGTTGACCATTGAAATTTTGTATTATTTTTGAGGAGGTTGTCAATTGGATGTAACAAGGTGGATAAATTTGGTATAAATTTAGAATAATAATTGACCATTCCAGCAAACGATCTTACCTCGGACACATTCTTCGGTATTGGTGCTTCTTCAATTGCTTTAATTT